AGGAAGTTCACCACCACAAGACACCCTCTACAAGAAATGATCAAGAAGATCCTCATACCTGAAAAAAAAGAAAGGGTTTACAAAGCCTTGAGCAAGGAGATAAATAGGCAGACAAAAATCAGAAAAATTCAGCTCTCTATCAGAAGAGGTTAGCAAACACTTAATCATAACATTAAAGATAAAGGGAAGGAAAACATAAAAAATAACTATAATCTTGTTGTTTTAACCACAAACCCACAACACAAGAGGGAATAAGTTGTGACAATAATAACTTACAAGGGGAAGAGGAAAGGGATGGAATTGGCTTAGACTAAGGGAATAAGAGGCTACGGACTATCTCTCTACAAAATTTTTTATACAAACTTCATGGCAACCACTAAACAAATAATCATAACAGAGACACAAATGATAAATAAAGAGAAAACTGAGAAAACTATCATAGAGAACTACCAAATTGAATGGGTAGTCTGAAGAACATGGGAGGAGAAACAAGGGAAATACAGAACAACTGGAAACCAAGCAACAAAATGGCAGCTTTAAGCCTTCATATATCAATAATCACCCTAAATGTAAATGGAATGAATTCTCCAATCAAAAGAAACAGAGCAGCAGGATAGAATAAAACAGAAGACCCAACTTGGGGCTGGCCCAGTGGTGTACTGGTTAAGTTCGTGTACTCTGCTTTGCAGGCCTGGGATTCATGGGTTTGGATCTTGGGTGTGGACCTACACACTGCTCATCAAACCATGCTGTGGCAGCATCGCACATACAAAATGGACGAAGACTGGAACACATGTCAGCTCAGCGACAATCTTCCTCAAGCAAAAAGAGGAAGACTGGCAACAGATGTTTGCTCAGGGCCAATATTCCTCACCAAAAACAAACAAACAAAAAACAAACAAAAAAAACTAGACCCAACAATATGTTGTCTCCAGGAAACACATCTTGGCTCTAAAGGCAAACACAGGCTCAGAGTGAAGGGATGGAAGATGATACTCCAAGCTAATGGAAAACAAAAGAAAGCAGGTGTTGCCATACTTATCTCAGACAAAGCAGACTTCAAGATAAAGAAGGCAATGAGAGACAAAGACGGGCAGTATACAATGATAAAAGGGACACTCCACCAAGAAGACATAACACTTATAAATATATATGTACTCAATGCAGGAGCATCAAAGTACATAAAGCAACTATTAACAAACCTAAAAGGAGATGTTAACAACAAGACAATAATACTAGGGAACCTTAACACCCCAGTTATATCAATGGACAGATTATCCTGACAGAAAGTCAAGAAGAAAATAGTGGAATTAAATGAAAAACTAGACCAGATGGACTTAATAGATAAATATAGAACACTCCATCCAAAAACAGCAGAATACACATTCTTCTCAAGTGCACAGGGAACATTCTCAAGGATAGACCATATGTTGGGAAACAGGGCAATCTTCAATAAATTCAAGAAGACTGAAATCATATCAAGCATCTTTTCAGACCATAATGCTATGAAACTAGAAATCAACTACAAGCAAAAAGGTGGGAAAGTGACAAACATGTGGGGACTAAACAACATGCTACTGAACAAACAAGGGATCATTGAAGAAATTAAAGGAGAAATCAAAAAATATCTAGAGACAAATGAGAATGAAAATATATCATACCAACTCTTATGGGATGCAGCAAAAGCAGTCCTAAGAGGCAAATACACAGCAATACAGGCCCACCTTAACAAACAAGAAAAACCTCAAATAAGCAATCTTAAACTACACCTAACAGAATTATAAAAAGAAGAACAAAGTCCAAAGTCAGCAGAAGGAGAGAAATAATAAAAATTAGAGCAGAAATAAATGAAATTGAAATAAAAAAAAAAAAACAGTGGAAAGGATCAATGAAACTAAGAGCTGGTTCTTTGAGAAGACAAACAAAATTGATAAGCCCTTAGCCAGACTCAGCAAGGAAAAAAGACAAGAGGCTCAAACAAATAAAATTAGAAATGAAAGAGGAGGAATTACAACAGATACCACAGAAATATGAAGGATTATAAGAGAATACTATGAAAAACTATATGCCAAGAAATTGGACAATCTAGAAGAAATGGATAAATTCTTAGACTCATACAACCTCCCAAAACTGAATCAAGAAGAAATAGAGAATCTGAATAGACCAATCACAAGTAAAGAAATTGAAACAGCAATAAAAAACCTCCCAAAAAATGAAAGTCCAGGACCAGATGGCTTCTCTGGAGAATTCAAACAAACATTAAAAGAAGATTTAATACCTATCCTTCTCAAACTAGTCCAAAAAGTTGAAGAAGACAGAACACTTCCTAACACATTTTACGAGGCCAATGTCACCCTGATCCCAAAGCCAGACAGGACAACATAAAAAAGGAAAAGTATAGGCAAATATCACTGATGAACATAGATGCAAAAATCCTCAATAAAATATTGGCAAACCAACGTCAGCAACACATTAAAAGGATCACACACCATAATCAAGTGACATTTTACACCAGGGATGCAGGCATGATTTAACATCCGCAAATCAATTGATGTGATACACCACATTAACAAAATGAGGAATAAAAACCACATGATCATCTCAATAGACATGGAGAAAACACTTGACAAGATCCAATATCCATTTATGATAAAAATTCTGAATAAAACAGGTATAGAAGGAAAGTACCTCAACATAATAAATGCCATATATGACAAACCCACAGCCAACATCATACCTGACAGTGAAAAACCGAAAGCCATCTCTCTGAGAACAGGAGCAAGACAAGGGTGCCCACTCTCACCATTCCTATTCAACAGAGTACTGGAGGTTTTGGTCAGAGCAATTAGGCAAGAAAAAGAAATAAAATGAATCCAAATAGGCAATGAAGAAGTGAAACTCTCACTGTTTGCAGATGACATGATTTTATATATAGAAAACCCTGAAGAGCCCACTGGAAAACTATTAGAAATAATCAACAACTATTGCAAAGTTGCAGGGTACAAAATCAACTTACAAAAATCAGTTTCATTTCTATACTCTAATAACAAACTAACAGAAAGAGAAATCAAGAATACAATTCCATTCACAATCACAACAAAAAGAATGAAATGTCTAGGTTATTCCTAGACATTCCAAGAAACAGAAAGATATTCCACACACATGGATTGGTAGAATAAGTACAGTTAAAATCTCCATACTACCTAAAGCAATCTATAGATTCAAAGCAATCCCAATGATAATCCCAATGACATTCTTCATGGAAATATAACAAAGAATCCTAAAATTCACATGGGGCTACAAAAGACAGCAAATAGCTAAAGCAATCCAAAGAAAATAAGAACAAAGCTGGAGGCATCAAAATCCCTGAATTCAAAATACACCACAAAGCTATAGTAATCAAAACAGCATGGTACTGGTATAAAAACAGACACACAGATCAGTGGAACATAATTGAAAGTCCAGAAATAAAACTACACATCTATCGACAGCTAATCTTTGACAAAGGAGCTAGGAACATACAACGGAGAAAGGAAAGTCTCTTCAATAAATGGTGCTGGGAAAACTGGACAGCCACATGCAAAAGAACGAAAGTATACCATTATCTTTCACAAGACACAAAAATTAATTCAAAATGGATCAAAGACTTGAATGTAAGACCTGAAACTATAAAATTCGTAGAGGAAAATATAGGCAGTACACTCTTTGACACTGGTCTTAGCAGGATCTTTTTGAATACCATGTCTATCTGGACAAGGGAAACAAATGAAAAAAAATAAGCAAGTGGGAATTCATGAGACTAAAGAGCTTCTGCAAAGCAAAGGAAACCAGGAACAAAAGGAAAAGATGACCCACCAACTGGGAGAAAATATTTGCAAATCATACATCCAAAAAGGGATTAAGTTAATCTCCAAAATACATAGAGAACTCAAACAACAACTACAACAAAAAAAAACAAACAACCTGATCAAATAATGGGCAGAGGATATGAACAGACATTTTTCCAAAGAACCTATACAGATGGTCAAATAGGCACATGAAAAGATGTTCAACATCACTAATCATCAGGGAAATGCAAGTCAAAACTACACTAAGATATCACCTTACACCCATTAGCATGGCTACAACCACCAAGACAAAACATAAATGTTGGAGAGGATGTGGAGAATAGGTAACCCTCATTCACTGCTAGTGAGAATGCAAACTGGTGCAGCCATTACGGAAAAAAGTACGGAGATTTCTCAAAAAATAAAAAATAGAAATAGCATATGATCCAGTTATCCCACTACTTGGTATTTATTCAAAGAACTTGAAATCAACAATTCGAAGAGACTTATGCACCTCTATGTTCATCGCAGCATTATTCACAATAGCCAATAGGTGTAAGCAACCCAAGTGCACAGTGACTGATGATTGGATAAAGAAAATGTGGTATATATACACAACGGAATACTACTCAGCCATAAAAAAGACAAAATTGTCCCATTTGCAACAACATGGATGGACTTTGAGGGTACTATGTTAAGTGAAAAAAGCCAGACAGAGAAAGATAAACTGTACGATTTCCCTCCCTATGTGGAAGATAAACTAACGCTTGGAGAAAGAGAACAGATTAGTGGATACTAGAGGGGATAGCAGTTGGAGGGTGGGTATAAGGGGTAAAGGGGGACATTTATATGGTGACTGATCAAAAATAATGTACAACTGAAATTTCACAATGTTATAAACTATTATGACCTCAATAAAATTTTAAATAAATAAATAAAAGTAGTTTTGACAAGGGGAGTATGATGGGGGGTGGGAAAAGATGGAATGAGGAATTGTTTCATTTTATTTTTAGCCTTTGTATACTTTTTAATTTTTAACCATCTTTCATAATGGTAAAAATAACCAATTTTAAAAAACTAAATTAATAGAATAAAAGGAAAAATAAAAATAAATGCAAAAAATATGGAAAGCAGATATCACTTTTTCAATTTTGCATGGTAACTTTTTCTCACCTTTAAGCATCTTCACAATTCCTATCAATGTTTTCATATCCATATCTTCATCAGCTATAAAATGAGATCAATTCACATATATAAGCATGGATACTCAAAAAACAATTTAAATTTGGCAATTTTCAGAATTTCCTCTAGAATTTTCTCACCTAGTGTGTCGCTATTTCCTCATTTCTATAACAGAATATAATAGCACCTATCTCATAGGCTTTGAGTAAGCATTAAAAGAGAATAAGGTGCTGGCCTATAGAGTAGTAGTTAAGTTTGGTGCACCCCACTTCAGCGAGCAGCCCAGGCTCATGGGTTCGGATCCCAGACACAGACCTATGTCACTCATCAGCCAGGCTGTAGCAGTGACCCATATATAAAGTGGAGGAAGATTGGCACAGATGTTTGCTCAGGGCTAATCTTCCTCAACAATAAAAAAAGAGAGAGAGAATAAGTAAGGTGCTTAGACCAATGTCTAGCATATTGTATGTGCTCAATAAATGATAGCCATTACTTTTTAAAAATTATAAATAAATAAGCAGAATCTATATGTTTTTTTCTGATATAAAGAGACAGCCATACCAGATATTTTTTCTAACTTAAAGTTTTGGATATGACACTGATGATTATAGCATCTCTTTTAAATATAAAATATAATTTCTTAATTTTCCTATCTAATCTCTAGAGGTAATATATGCCTTGTGGGCTTATTATAATGGCCTGAAGAATAGCTTTCATAGAGAGCAAATAAATATTCCTAAATATACAGAAAGAAAAAACTCTGTAGTCAATGTTTCCGCTCTTAACATCTGGTAAGGTTTTAAGGGGATATGATTTTAATTAGCAAACAGTTAACACGCAAGGGCAGCATGACCTGATGTTACCCTCTTGCCTTCATAGATATGTCAGATAATTACCTGTGTGGAAAGAAAGCAAAGAAAATCCCAATTGTACAGTGAAAGAATATATAAATACCATATACATGCACATACATATAATTTTTGGAACTGTAATTATGAGACCAGGAGATTATGAATCAATGATAAGAATCTTTCATAGCATGCTCTCAAACAGACCCTATATAATGTAACTAATGCAAACAAGTCATTCAATTTCTGATGACTTACCAAGAGAACAAAAGGGTTTTTTAAGTTTCTTTTGGATTAATCCTAGCTAAGTAGGATTTAAAATGTTTTGTTCTGTGAATTAAGGAAATTTAATAATTTTTTAATGTAAAATAATACCTACCCACAATATCTTATCCATTTTAAAGTGAGTACACTTATTAGCACACATAGTTGAGCTTATAATGATAATCCCCAAACCAATTGACAGTATTTTTCCAGATTTGTTATAGATTGGAAATTTATGTTGGGACCACAACAAAGAGGGCATTGGATACTATAAGTACTTTTTTACTTAGGTGATGTCACCAAGATGGTGAAATAGGAGACCCAAGCCTCTGTCCTCTAACACAGATGGACAATTAGACAGCTATCCACAAACAAAACACCTCTGGGAGAGCGCTGGAGTCTGCTTAAGAAACTTCAGCAACACAGTAGAACAAAAAAAACATGAGAATAACCACACAAAAAAGGAAGGAAGATAGTTTCATTTCACCTGCATCATTCCATCTCCCAAGCTGGCTTTGCTCAGTGCCAGGAGAGAACTCAGCTAGAAAGAGTTCCCCTCACCAGGAAAGGGAGAGGAGGGTGAGTGACCAGCTTTCCCCAGCCTTTCAAGACACTAAACAAAGGTTTGCTTTTGTTTCACCCCACCCAGAAAATGGGAAAGCTGAGACATATAATGATGGCAAAGAACAAGGAAGAAAAGCTGGGGCTACCAACAGTAGCTATGCAGTAGAGCAATCACGGTTCCCAAGGATCTGTTCTGTAGACAAACCTAGCAGCTTATGCCACGAAGAATGGCCACAAGAGCCATCACAGATTCCCTACAGATTTTACTGGCTTCCGTTCCACAGGTATTCACACTCACTGACACAAGCCACCTAAGTCCCTCCATGCTCTTCCAAAGTTGGAGGAATCACACTAAGAGAGTAGATCTTAAATGCTCTCACCACAAAAAAAATTGGGAATTATGTGAGGTGATGGATGTGTTAGCTAACCTTATTGTGGTAATCATTTCACAATATATACGTATATCAAACCGTCACGTTATACACCTTAAACTTACATAATATTAGATATCAATATCTCAGTAAAGCTGAGGAAAAGTCCATGATATTTTGATGTACTAGCAATGAAGAATTGAAAATTGAAAATATTTCGAATTTCCTTTTATAATAGTACCAACAACCATGAAATACTTAGGTATAAATCAAAGAAAATATGTGTGAGATATGTGTGCTTCAAACTATGAAACTCTCATAAGAGAAATCAAAGACTTAAATAAGTGGAGAGATACACCTTGTCATAGATTGGAAGGCTCAATACTGTTAAGGTGTCAATTTTCCCAAATTGATTGATAGATTAAATGCAATCTCAGTAAAATCACAGCAGGAAGTTTTGTAGAAACCAATAATCTGATTGTAAAATTTACGTGGAAAAGCAAAAAACAAAAAACTAGAATAGCCAAAACAACTTTGAAAAAAAAGAACAAAGTTGAAAGACTGACAGTAAGTAGCTAAAATCAAGCCTTATAATAGAAATACAGTAAAGGACAAACACAAAAATCAATGGAACTGAATAGACCACCCAGAAATGGAGGCACATACATATACTCATCAACTTATTTTCAACGAAGGGTGAAAGACACTTCAATGAATAAAAGACAGTCCTTTCAACAAATGGTGCTGGATCAACTGCATGTCAATGTGTTAAAAAAAAGAATCTCAAACTATGCAAAAACTAACTCAAAATGATCATAGACCTAAATGTAAAATCTAAAACTATAAAACTTCCAGCACTGTGCTTATGCTGTCCTATATGTTAGCTGCTAGCCACATGTGGCTATTGAATGCATGAAATGTGTATTGTCTAAATTGAGTTGTGCCATAAGAGTAAAATATCCAACAGATTTCAAAGTCTTAGTATGAACAAAGGAAAATAAAATGTTTCATTAGTAAGTTTTTACGTTGACTACAAGTTTAAATGATAATCTTTAGAATATTTTGAGTTAAATAAAATCTATTTTAATATTAATTTTACCTCTTTTAAATTTTATTAATGGGGCTACTAGAACATTTAAAATTACATACGAGGATTGCATTATATTACATGAGGATTGTTCTATACTTGTATTATAGGATAGCACTGTTCTAGAAGAAAACACAGGAGAAAATCTTTGTATCCTTGGGTTAGGTAAAGACTTCTTAGATACGACACAAAAAGCACTATTCATAAAAAATTATAAATTTTTCAAAGACACTGGTAAGAAAATGAAAAGATAAGTAACAGACTGGAAAGAAATGTTTACAGGGTACATATCAAACCTGCATCCAGAATATATAAAAGATTCTCAAAAGTCAATAAGTAGAAAAGAAACAACTCCATCAAAAAGTGGGCAAAATATTTGAGCAGACACTTCAGAAAAGACAGTATACAGATGGCAAATAAGAATATGTTGCTCAACGTCATCTGTCAGTAGGGAAACGCAAATTAAAGCCAAATGAAATACCACTACACATACTATGATAGCTACTAAAAAGGAAACTGACACTACCAAGTGCTAGTTAAGACTGCAGAGCAACTGAAATGCTTATATTGGTGATGGTACAGGCACTTTGGGAAACAGCGGCAGTTTTTTTTCATCAAGTTAAACATATACTTATCATACATCCCAGCAACCCCACTTCTAAGTGTTATCCCAAAAGAAATTAAAACTCATGTTCACACATAAGAACCTACAGGTTTGAATTTTGTGGTGATTTTTACTTATAATTGCCAAAAACTGGGGAAACTCATATGTCTCCTATAAAGACAAAGGATAGTAAAAGTTGCTAATTCATACAATAGAATACTATTTAGCAATATAAGGAAGGAATTATAGATACATTCAAATCCATGGATGAATCTTAAACACAAAATGTTGAAAAAAGAAGACATTTTGTGAAGATTACATACATTGGATTATACTGTATGTTTCTACTTAAATTCAGTCCTATAAGAGGCAAAACTAATCAATAATGATAAAAATGTGCAGTGATGTGGTTTTCCTCTTGGGAAGAGGCAAGTGACTGAATGGCAAGAAGCATCAGGGAATTCTCTGAGAAGCTGTAAATATCTATATCCTGATTGCAGTGTGAATTACACAAGTATATATATTTGTCAAAATTCACCATTTTATAACCTTAATCTGTAGTTTTATTGTATGTAAATTATAGATAATTTTTTAAATGAAAAACATTGGAGCAAAAATTTAGACTGTGTATAGTCATTGAGGATTTTTGAATAGCAGGGTAGCACATTAAAAACTGTGCTTTAGGAAGAATTATCTGACAGCGGAGTGAATCAGTTAATGTCTAAGAAGTCTACTATCTCTCAGCATATCAAATAATAAGAAGCAGAACTTTTGTAATGGCATGAAAACTTTTTTTAAATTTAGTCTAGATAATTCATATAAATATATTGTCAGAAACTCCCATGGAAAAGCCTCCAAACTAACAAGCTGAACAGTATCTAACAACCATAATGAGGTATTTTAAAGCCTCACTAGTAGCTGAAAGGTGTTCTAGTAGTTCCTGTTGTTCATCTTCTGTAAGTTTTATATCCATGTTTTTCAGAACAGCATCCACATTACTGAAATCAATCTTCCTTCCTTAGGAAATAAGAGCATGATGAGGATAAGGAAAATATCAAATCATATAGCACTGTGAAGCTCATGTGTTAGAAAAACACACAAAAAGAATGTTGCCACAGATATTACCATAAGTTTAAAAAGTTCATTTTACTTATTTGTATCTCTAGCATGTAACATAGTGTCTACTACTGCTGGTTATTCGGCAAAACTTTGTTCAGTGAATGAATTAGTTAGTTAATTAGCAAACTTTCACTCACCCATAGATGATCTCCTATCTTTTATCTCATTCTTGTTCACTGTTTTATCAACTGTAAAAATAAGAAACTAGGTCACTGGGGTAAATTATATTTATTGTGAATTTTATAAAATTATTAATGTAAACGTAGCAATTTTGGGATATTGTACACATTGATCTAAAATATAACCTGGTTTAATTCCAAATAAATATAAGGCACAGGAAAAAAGGAAGCTCTCAAGAATCAATGAAGAAAACTAAAGAGATCATCAACTTAATATAGACTGCTATATATGTAGGTTATTATATATGAACCTCATGGTAATCACAAATCAGATACCTATAATAAATAAACAAATAATTAAGAGAAAGGAACCCAAACATAATACTAAAAAAAGCCATCAAACTACAAGGGAAGAGAGCAAGAGAAGAAGAAAGGAACAGATAAGAACTACTAAAACACCCAGAACAAAAGTAACAAAATGCCAATAAGTACATACTTAATAATAGTTACTTTAAATGTCAATAGACTAAATGCTCCAATCAAAAGGCATAGGGTGGCTGACTGGATGAAAAACAAGACCCATATATATCTTGCATACAAGAGACACGCTTCAGACCTAAAGACACTCACAAACTGAAAGTGAAGGGACAGAAAAAAGATACTCCATGCAAATGGCAATGAAAAGAAAGCGGGGGTAGCAATGCTTATATCAGACAAAACAGAATTTAAAACAAAAACTGTAACAAGAGACAAAGACGGGCACTACATAATGATAAAGGGATCAATCCAGTAAGAGGATATAACACTTGTAAATATCTATGCACCCAACATAGGAGCACCTAAATATATACAGGAATTACTAACAGACATAAAAAGAGAAATATACAGTAACACAATAATAGTAGGGGACTTTAACACTCCACTTACACCAATAGATGGATCATCCAAACAGAAGATCAATAAGCAAACATTGGCCTTAAATGACACATTAGACAAAACGGACTTAGTAGATATATACAGAACATTCCATCCCAAAACAACAGAATACAAATTCTTTTCAAATGTACATGGAACATTCTCTAGAATAGATTACATATTAGGCCACAAAACAAGTCTCAATAAATTTAATAAGATTTCTTAAATAAATTTAAGAAATAATACCAAGCATCTTTTCTGACCATAATGGTATAAAACCAGAAATCAACTACAGGAAGAAAATCAGAAAAGCCACAAATATGTGGAGGTTAAAAAAAATGCTACTGAACAACAATTGATCAATGGAGAAATCAAAAAAGACCTGGAGACAAATGAAAATGAAAATATGACATGCCAAAATCTGTCAGATACAGCAAACGTGGTTCTAAGAGGGAAGTTTATAGCAATACAGGCCTATCTCAACAAACAAGAAAAATCCCAAGTAAACAATCTAACAGTGCACCTAACGGAACTGGAAAAAGAAGAACAAAGTCCCAAATCAGAAGAAGGAAGGAAATAATACAAATTAGAGCAGAAATAAATGAAATAAAGACTTAAGAAACAATAGAAGAAATCAATGAAATCAAGAGTTAGTTCTTTGAAAAGATACTCAAAATTGACAAACCTTTAGCTAGACTCACCAAGGAAAAATACAGAGAAGGCTCAAATAAATAAAATCAGAAATGAAAGAAGAGAAATTACAACAAACACCTCAGAAATACAAAAGATTCTAAGAGAATACTATGAAAAGCTATACACTGACAAATCGGATAATCTAGAAGAAATGAATAAATTCTTAGAAACATACAACTTTCCAAAACTGAATCAAGAGGAAGTAAAGAATTTGAATGACCAATCACCAGTAAGGAGATCAAAACAGTAATCAAAAACCTCGCGAAAAATAAAACTCCAGGACTAGACAGCTTCCCTGGTGAATTCTCCCAAACATTCAAAGAAGACTTAATACCTATCCTTCTTAAATTCTTCAAAAAAATTGAAGAGGAGGGGAAGCTTCCTAACTCATTCTATGAAACTAACACTACCCTGATACCAAAACCAGACAAGGACAACACAAAAAAAGAAAATTACAGGCCAATATCACTGATGAAGATCGATGCAAAAATCCTCAACTAAATACTAGCAAAGCGAATACAACAATACATTAAAAAGATCATACATCATGATTAAGTGGGATTTATTCCAGAGATGCAGGGATGGTTCAACATCTGCAAATCAATCAACATGATACACCACATTAACAAAATGAAGAATAAAAATCACATGATCTCAATAGATGCAGAGAAAACATTTGACAAGATACAACATCCATTTATGATAAGCACTCCAAATAAATGGGTATAGAAGGAAAGTACCTCAATATAATAAAGGCCATATATGACAAACCCACAGCTAATATCATTCTCATTGGAGAGAAACTGAAAGCTATCCCTCTAAGAACAGGAACCAGAAAAGGATGCCCACTTTCACCACTCTTATTTAACGTAGTATTGGAAGTCCCAGCCAGAGTCATCAGGCAATAAAAAGAAATAAAAGAGATCCAAATTGGAAAGGAAGAAGTGAAACTGTCATTATTTTCAGATGACATTATTTTATATATAGAAAACCCTAAAGAATCCATCAAAAAATTTTTAGAAATAAATGAACACAGCTAAATTGCAGGATACAAAATCAAAAATAACTTGCATCTCTATACAGTAACAATGAAGTAGCAGAAAGAGAAATTAAGAATACAACTTCCACAAAAAGAATAAAATATCTAGGAATAAACTTAACCAAAGAGGTGAAAGATCTGTAAACTGAAAATTTTTTGTTGAAAGAAACATAAAACCGTGTTGAAAGAAATTGAAGAAGACACTAAGAAATGGAAAAATATTCCATGCTCTTGGATTGGAAGAATTAACATCGTTAAAATGTCCATACTTCCTAAAGCAATCTGCAGATTCAATGCAATCCCTATCAAAGTTCCAACAACACTTTTCTTAGAAATGGAACAAAGAATCCTAAAATTTATATGGAAAAACAAAAGACCTCGAATAGCCAAAGGAATCCTGAGGAAAAAGAACAAAGCTAGCGATATCACATTCTCTGATTTCAAAATATAGTACAAACCTATAGTAACCAAGACAGCATGGTACTGGCACAAAAACAGACACACAGAGCAATGGAACAGAATCGAGAGCTCAGAAATAAACCAACACAACTATGGACAGCTAATTTTCGACAAGGGAACCAAGAACATACAATGTAGACAGGCAAGTCTCTTCAATAAATGGTGTTGGTAACACTAGACAGCCACATGGAAAAGAATGAAAGTAGACCATTATCTTACACCATGCACAAAAATCAACTCAAAATGGATTAAAGACTTGAATGTAAGACCTGAAACCATGAAACTTCTAGAATAAACATAGGCCATACGCTCTTCAACATCAGTCTTAGCAACATATTTTCAAGTACCAGGTCTGACCAGGCAAGGGAAACAATAAAAAAAATAAACAAATGAGACTACATCAAACTAAAAAGCTTCTGCACAGCAAAGGAAACCATTAACAAACTAAAAGACAATCTAACACTTGGGAGAAGATATTTGCAAACCATATGTCTGATAAGGCGTTAATATCCAAAACACATAAAGAACTCATACATCTCAACCCAAAAAGCTAACAACCCAATTAAAAAATGGGCAAAAGATCTGAACAGAGATTTCTCCAAAGAAGATATACAGATGGCCAACAGGCACATGGAAAGATGTTCAACATCGCTAACTAGCAGGGAAACGCAAATCAAAACTACAAGGGGATATTACCTCACTCCCATCAGAATGGCTATAATTAACAAGACAGGAAATAACAAGTGTTGGAGAGGATGTGGAGAAAAGGGAACTCTCATACACTGCTGGTGGGAGTGTAAACTGGTGGAGCCACTATGAAAAACAGTATGGAGATTCTTCAAGAAAATTAAGAACAGAACTAACCATATGATCCAGTGATTCCACTGCTGAGTGTTTATCCAAAGAGCATGAAAACATGAATGTGTAAAGATACATGCACCACTATGTTCATTGCAGCATTATTCACAATAGCCACGACTTGGAAGTAACATGGGTGCCCATCAAGGGATGAATGGATAAAGACGATGTGGTATATACACACAATGGAATACTACTCAGCCATAAAAAATGATGAAATCTGGCCATTTGTGACAACATGGATGGACCCTGAGGGTATTATGCCAAGCAAAATAAGTTAGAGGGCGAAAGTCAAATACTGTATGATCTCACTCAGAAATAAAAGACAAAAACAACAACAAACAGTCACATAAAGACAGAGATTGGATTGGTTGTTATCAGAGGGGAAGTGGGTAGGGAGGAGGGTAAAATGAGTGATTAGGCATATGAGTATGGTGATGAATTGTAGTTAGTCTTTGGGTGGTGAATATGATGTAATCTACACAGAAATCAAAACATAATGATGTACACCTGAAATTTATATAATGTTATAAACCAACGTTACCACAATAAAAAAAAAATAAAGAGCATCAAAAAAAAAAAAAAGAGAATCAATGAAGATTATTGTTTCTGAGAGATAATGAATCAACTGCAAAATAAGGCACTTTGAAATACATAACAGACAAAAAAAATCAGTATTCAAGCTTTGTAGTATCTTTCAGAACTTGGAATGAGTTCCTTTGCAGGAGATGATGGAGAGAAGACATATTCATTCTGCTGATGTAACGAGATAGGGGCATGGAATCATTTTTCCCTGTTATCTAACAAAAATAAAACTTTAAAGCAATCCATTTTAGTGAGCTGCCCCTTCCAATTGTGCAAAACCTACCAAGAAAATGGGGCCTGTGCCTGATAGTCCATTTGGAGCCCTGGAAGGCAGCAAGACAGACAGACTTTCCTGAGAAAACAGAGCAAGTGGAAAGTAGAGAAAAAATGAGAGCATTGCTATCTAAGAAGGAGAGTCTAGGACAGCCACCAAGTTTTCCACAGCCCCAGCATGGCGTAAAGAATAGCAAAAGATTTCCTGTGACACAGTAAAAGGAGCAGAGGTTGGTGAGAGAAGAGCCAAAGCCCCAAAGCGGCCTGACAATCAAGCTGAGGTGCACAGCAACAAGTAACAGTACAGACTGCAAGATAAAACACCAGAAGAAAATGCAGGTCATTCAATGAATGCCAGCATGAAAGAGAACAATATATGAGGCTTGGGGGCCAGCCGCGTGGCCAAGTGGTTGAGTTCGCGCGCTCTGCTTTGGCGGCCCTGTGTTTCGACGGTTCGGATCCTGGGCATGGACATGGCACCGCTCATCAGGCCATGCTGAGTGGCCTCCCAAATGGCACAACCAGAAAGAGCTACAACTAGACTGTACAACTATGTACTGGGGGGAGGGTGTTTAAAAAGTATATATATGAGGCTCAGAGCACACATGTTATCATGAAGATATCTGAAGAGCAGGCACCTACCTCCCTTTCCCCACCCACCCCGACATGAGCCTTCCAGAGCATAGACACAACCATCTGGAGAAGGGAGAAATGAAAAGATCTTTATTCAACTTATGAAAGTGCTGATATGAACAGAATTTAACCTAGTAGTTAAGATCATGTTTTCTACCACTCAGAATACAAACTCATGTGGGTAAAAACTGCAATGTCCCTAATTTCTCTAAGTTAAGACATAGAAAAATAAAAGCAAACTTTTGTACACTTGAGTTTTTGACCTAAGAAATTTGCAACTTGCAAAATTTATGTAACTAACACTCAGTAGACTGTAGCCTCCATGAACTAGTCAGAAACTATCTTTTGGTGATTTTAAGGAATTTATATCCTACTTTTGTTTTTCTTATTTTCATTTCCATGTTTTCTTGTCACACACCAGAGAACTTCCTCCAGTTGTCAAGGAGAAGTTTAGGATAACCTCCTGCTGGCCTGGTCTTGGAACATGCTCTGCACTATTGAATCAGTATACTTACCAATGTTAGATGATCATCCCTTCTCCCTTGGCTCAGCTCTGGCCCTCCTGGCTGGGTTCCCCTTGGTCGTCTGTGCTGGAGCACCCTCACCAGAGCTTTTGGCCATAACTGCCAGTTGTTCTCACTGAGCTCTCAGCTGACAGAACTGGGTTTCCTCTGCATTTGGTCATCTCTATTTTGACCCCTTAACTACAAGAACCTGGCTGCGGCTGCTCACATCCCCATTCTGACTCTTTGTGCCCTCTCATCTGCTCCCCACGCCATCCATACACCCACACACACTAGTCCTTCCACTGGGACCGCTTTTACCACCTATCCTGGTCTATGAAGGTAGAGTTAGAAAGGGCTACTTAAGCTGTGTTCCAACTCTTCTGAAACCGCGGGCATTGGGGAAATGAGCAGCCATCTGCCCTGCATCCTCTGTTTTCACTGACCAATTCATTTAGTCATGTTTCCTTCCCATCCAGTTCCCTGTCACTGTCAATTAGGCCCTTGCTCTTTCAAGCTCCCCTTGCCCGTGGAATATCGTCTGGTCCTAGCTGTGGTTCCCATCACTCCCCCATCACCCGCTTTGGTTAACCTTGTGCCTGTCTCATGTATGATCACATCACCAAAAAGGGGGAGGGTGAGATAAGAATTTTTTTCACATTTTGTAATCACATAAAAATAGTAGACAAATTGCCTAATGGTTGGGTTTGTCTACAATTTTCAACATTAGTGATTATTTTTTGGTTCTGTCTGCCAGTTAAAGGGTTTGTCACTGTTAATTCAAATAAACAATAATGCACCGTATCCCTATGCATAAAATGTTCTTCTAATTATAAGGATGAAAATTCTGCCCTTTAAAAATTGTTTTAAAAAAAACTTGTATTTTGTAAATTTTTTTTTCCTGCTTTGAGCTATGTAGTGGCAGTGAAACATACACCTATCTTTGTTCTATAGAAATGCTTTTCTTCAAAGAAGCTGATTTTTGTTAATGTCTTGATTATGGTCTCCACGTACAGACTAGTGCTTTTAAAAAAGGATGGAAAAAGCGAAAAAAAACAATTTAAAAAAGTTACAGAATGTTGTGTGCCGGGCCTTTCTTGACATAGTGGACTGGGTGTAAATATTAATGGTGGCAGCATAGGAGCCCACCCTGCTGGAGCACTTCTCTCAGGTACTCTGACTTGCTCTGAACCTTGGGAAGTCTCTATTCTGTCTTCTGGGCACCCGGCAGTGTATGGAAAGGTCACTCTGCTTTCCTACTATATTATAATCTTCTGAAGGACCGAAATCATGTCTTATTAAATTCTATAGTCTCAGTGTCTGGCAGAGTATATAGAACATAGGGGGACCTTAAAAATGCCTGTTGAATCAGTGATAGAGGAAGGGATGCCAAAGTATTCCTATAAATATAAATTTAGATCAAAAGCACTAAAATAGCCAATACATATCCTTGTTTCTTCTGTACTACCCAAATGAAGCTCTTGGAAACCATAAAATTTATTCCCAAGGATGGCAACCTAAAGCATGACATTTAAGCTAATTTTTTTTTATTACTTTTTATCATTTGCCATGGTTCTTTCTATATGAATTTCATATCTAAGAAGTTTTCATTTATAAAAGGACTTCTCAGAAGACAGAACTATGTGGGCCATGTCTACGTATATGTCACCTTTAATTGACAGGTCCTTCAGAATCTCACAAAATTCTTTACCTGACATCTCCATCCTCATGTTTCCTAGGAAGGTGTCTAGATTGCTGTCATCAATCCTATTTCCTAGGAAAAAACAGAAATGACAAAAGCCATGAGAATGGGAAATAGTAATAATTTTCAATTATGAAAAATCTTCCTATATCTTCATATTGTTATAGTCAATTTCAGCGTGAAAAGGAGAGGCTTTTTGATGTGTATTCAGATGCACGCTTTAAGTTATTCTATCAGAAACAGAAATACGTTCTTTTTATCATTTTACAGGGAATATGGCTATAAAGTACAGGAACATTTAACATAGTATAGCCCATATGATACTGGACATGAAGTATTACCCACTGATACTGAGGAAACAGTTAGAAGGCAATATTTGACATGTGGCAAATAAAGTGTCATGTAGCCACAGAATGGGGAATCAATTTTCAGCTTGTACTCTGAGGAGGAAGTGATTTTTTTTTTCCAAAATGATAAATTCAGTATTCTCTGCCAGTCAATTCATCAGGAAGACATAACCATCACAAATGCAGATGCACTGAATAAGAGAGTCTAAAAATACATAAAACAAAATTGACAAAATTTAAGGAAGAAATAGAAAATATAACAATCATAATAGAAATTTTAGTACCTCTCTCTCAACAATTGATGGAATAACTAAAAAAAGTCAGTACAAACAGATGATTGAGGAAGCTATCAACCACCTTTACCTAATTCATATTTATAACATACTATACTCTTCAAGTGCAGAATACACATTTTCAACTGCACAGAGTACATTTACCAAAATGGACCATATACTGGGCCATAAAACAAATACCAAGAAATTGAAAAACATTGAAATCATAAAGCATCTTTTCTCTGACCATAACGTAATTAAATTACAAGTCACAATTAAAAAAAACTAAGAAAACTCCAAATATTTAGAAATTAAATGACACACTTCCAAATAGTCCATGGATCAGAGATGAAAGCACAAAGGACATTAAAACATATCTCAAACTAAATTATAATTAAAATAAAACATAACATTTATTGGATGCAGCTAAGGTAGTGTTTGGCAAGAAGTTTACAGGTCTGCATGGTTATATTAGAAAAGAAGAGAGACCAAAGTTTCCGCCTTAAGAAGCTAGAAAAAGAGTGAAGTAGATCCAAAGTCAGTAAAAGGAAAGAAATAACAAAGATAAAAGCAGAAATCAACAAAATACAAAACAGATAAAATATAGAGAAAATTATCAAAGCCAAAAATTGGTTCTTTGAGAAGATTAGCAGAATTGATGAAGCCCAAGAAGGACTGGTCAAGGAAAAAAAGAGAAAACAGAAACTGCCAATCTCAGGAATATAAGAGGGTAATCACAATAGACTGTACAAACATAAACAAGATAATAAGAGAATATTATGAACAAATTTATGCCAACAAATGTGACAAATTAGATGAAATAGAAAAATTCTTGAAAAATACAGGTTACCAAAACTGACAAGATGGCATAGAAAACATGAATAGTCCTATATCTGGTAAAGTGATTTCATAATTAAAAACCTTTCCACAGAGAAAATTCCACGCCCAAATGGTCTTACTGTTGAATTCTACCAAATAGTTAAGGGAAAAAAAAATTTCCAAACTTACACAAACTTTTTCAGAAAATAAATAAGGAGGTAACACTTCTAACTCATTTTGAGGCCAATATTACCCTGAAACCAAAACTTAGACAAAGGCATCACAGGAAAACTATAGACCACTATCTCTCATGAACATAAACACAAAAATTTAGCAAAACATTGTCAACTTGAATCCAGCAATATGTGAAAAGGGCAATACCATGCCCAAGTGAAGTTTCTCCAGGCACTACGAGATTGGTTTAACATTTGACAATCATTATAATTCACCATATCAACAGAATAATGGAGAAAAATAATATGATTATCGTAAAAGATAGGAAAAGAATTTTACTAAATTCAACAACCATTTATAATAAATGTTGCAGTAAATTGGAAAGAGTAAGGGAAATTCCTCAAACTGGGCCTTTAATTAAAAAAACCTACATCTAACCTACCTAATGGTAAAAACCTGAATGTTTTATCCCTAAGATCAGAATAAAGTAAGATGCTCATTCTCAACACTCCTATTTAACGTTAGAATGGAGGTGCTAGCCAATAAAATAAGGTAAGAATAAGAAAAAGAAATAAAAGGCATAGGGAATTGGAAGAAAGAAGTAAAACTGTGTCTATCTCCAGATTACATAATTATTTACATAAAAAATTCTAAAGAATTTACAAAATACCAGGGCTAATAAGAAAATTTAGCAAAGCCACAGGGTACAAGGGTAATATACATAAATAGATTCTATTTTATCATATTAGCAGCAAACAATTTTTCAATTTTATTCTTCAACATAGTGTCTCCAAATTGTCTTGTGAAGTCACAGGAAAATTAATATGTGTGATACAAAAGTTTCTGTACCATCTTGAAGTTAGCCTTGGAAAATGAGCGAGAAAGTGAAGATAATAGGATTGAGAATGGTGATGGGGGCTTCAACCATAACTAAATATTTTAATTTCTTTTAAAAATAAACAAAGGTCCAAATACAATGTAAGAAACTGTTAAAATGTGCCAAATCTACTATTTTCTACACTTTTCCGTGTGTTTGAAATATTTCATAATTTATCATTTCTAAAATTATCAAAATAAGACAAAAAATAAAAAGAGTTCTGTGATCTAGAAGAATCAGGGTCTGCTATATATCAACTATATCAAACTCTTAAACATACAAAGTCTCTAATAGTCTGGAAGTAGAGAAATTTGCTTGTTTTCTACTTCAGTGTTTTCCAAATTTAGCCACAGAACTCTTTTTTTTCTTTATAACATACCATTTAATATCCCATGGGCCAGCATTCACAGATAGCAGTTTTTGAGACACTGCTTCATAATTTATACCCAATTACTTTCCAAAATAATTTGAAGAATTATTCAATGAAAAATTAATATATTTAAAATAGAATTAAAAATTCAAAAACACATTAGAACAAGGTAGTAAATAACAAACAAAGCCAACACAGTTACAGTGATTAAATATTAAAGTTAGGTCTGAACTTTCTGGTAGCTAAGACACAAAGGGGAATTCAGGTTATCATCTACACAAAAAAGCACACTGGTCTTTGGGAGAGAGAAGGTGTTTTCTGATATTAAATTTCAAGAGACATTTCTCATATTCACCACTAAATAACATAATGGACGATCTCTTCAGGAGATACAGCACACTTTGATATGGTTGTTTTTAATGCCAGTTCTCAAAAACAGATGAGGTATATTATTAAGAAATTGCCCCAAATAAGGCATTTCTACAAAACATCTCTTCATAAATATTTTTGGTTTGTCAAAGCTATACATGTGTGCCTATCCAAAAGTAGGTGGAAATAGTCAAAGAAGTAAACCTTCAGCTTCTGAAACAACAGAGGGCATTTAAAAATGTACAATACAAAGTGATCTGGAAGTGAATATAGTTTTGGCTTGAAGTTAGAATTATTCTTCTCACCTAAATATGCAAAATATAAAACATTACTTCCTTTTCAATACCATAGAGGCAAGAAAGGGCAGCTCATCAGAGAACCCAGAGGCCTGAGATTACATAAATACTATGCAAACCAAAAGAAGAAAAGGGTCCTTAACATTATGCTTGACAAATGTTGTACTAAAATTAAACTTTGAGTTAGTGTATAAAGAGAGATTGAAAAAAAGTGGAGCCCAGACAAAGAAATAACCAAAGAAAACAAAGTTCAAATAACAAAAAAAGAGAAGAAAAATTCTCCCAACGATGAGAATAAGGGTTTTCACCAGTTTTTTTTTTTCTCCCCAAATCCCCCCAGTACATAGTTGTATATTTTTTAGTTGTGGGTCCTTCTAGTTGTGGCATGTTGGACACTGCCTCAGCATGGCCTGATGAGCAGTGCCATGTCCCCACCCAGGACCCAAAACAGCAAAACCCTGGGCCACCAAAGTGGAGCGTGTGAACTTGACTACTCGGCCACGGGGCTGGCCCCTCACCAGTTTCTTAATGAAGAATTATAAATCAATATCAGGAACCCACTGTTTATCATATGTTAATATGTCTCATACAATTACACTTTAGTTAAAGTAGAGTAATTTGCAAATAACCTAATTCCAAGTGTTAGTTCAGTCATTTTTAACTAATATTATTACCTTCATAAGATCCTTAGGGAAACATAATCACAGTCAAGACTAGGCAGAAGAGGTAACCAGTACTCCCCATAAAGATCATGGTCTTTTTTAGTTGTGCTGCACGTTTGACATGCATGGAATAAAGACATTAGAAAATTCTGCCAGTGTTAAATCAGTTTAAGACCGTCTCAAAAGCTATGTGGCGTTTTCCCAAGAGATCTACAACACATGTCATTACCTATCTTCATTCAACTGAAAATTCTTACTCACTTTCAAGTAGAGATGAAAATTCTGAATTGACCAAATTGCCCATAAACTCTTCTAAATTTACTGTCCCATCCTCTGAAAGAAAAATGCATGTCAGGGAACATGGAAAAGGTAACTGATCAAAGATAAGAGATAGGCGATTATAGTATAATTGCTATACTGAAAAACAACTTATAGATTTGGCCTTGAAATATTGTTAAAGATACATATTCAATCATAAAGACAGATTCACATGTATCATTCAGACACATACAGACTTATCCCCTATAGATCCTCCTTTGTATGATGCTCCTGAAAATAACTAGAACTCAACTGGGAAATAAGTAGAAAAAAGCCTTCGATAATCCATGAAGCAGAAAACCCTTTAAGGATTCTTGAAAAGTTCAAACAGATGCATGTCAGCTAAGATAAAGAATACCTAGAAACATTAAATACTCACCTGTGAGAGCCACATTCTTCAATGCTCTTTCAATCACATCTTGTGGTAATGGAACTCCTATACTTTTCATCATGGAGCCTAGGTCATCAGGATTGGCCACATTTTTCCTAATGGAGACCAGAACTTTCAAGAGGTTGTCTATTTCTATATTCAAAAAAATATACAATGTATGAAGATTTAAAAAACACTCAAATATCAATAGTAGGTCATGAACAATAATAATAATAACAATAACAACTACTACTATTACCACTTATTGAGTATTCAGTCTGAGCTTGCTAGGCACCTTGCCAAGTGCTTTACATACGCCATCTCATTTAATCCCACAAAAATTCTGTGAGGTTGGTACCAATATTTCCCTTATTTAACAGATAAGGAAACCTAGCCTTAGAGAGGCTATTCTGTCTAAGCATACACAGCTACTAAATGTGAAGTCAATTTTTAAGCCCAGGGTGTCTGATTTCATAGGCAGAATATTTAACCATGATGCTAACCAAGTCATTGCAGATATTTATACTTGAGATTTAAGAATGATTACATAAAAAGAAATCTCAGAACATCTGCTTATACTTCTCTTTATCATATCTGAAGCTGGAAATTCCACTAAAGCTACGTTAACTAATTGTAAAAGTAATTCTCTTGTCAAACATTGGATAACTGGTCATAGATCGATGTGACTATTCTCAATTTTTCTTCATTCATCGGATACTTGTATGTACCAACACACACACATAAAAATGACCCCAAATAATGGAGAGATTGGCACTGCTATATCAATACCACAAAAAGGTATTATTTATTTTTGAAAGCATCACGTATAAATTATTCATTCAAGTAAGAAAAAATCTTTAAATTTTGTATTATGATAAACACTATCATATCATAAACATTAACCCTGTAACAGATTTGCTTATAAACCACATTATCTAGGAGAGTTTTTATAGGCCTTATTTAGAAAACAAAGGATTAAGGACAAAATAGTTGGTCAATTGAAAAAACATACCATTTTGGCCACATCCTAAACACCCAGGCTCTAGAGAACAACTTCATTTTGTACCTACCTAAATTAAGCCTTTTGAATTTAGTTCAGTTTCAGTTTTGGAAAGAGTCTAGAAGAAATTAAGCCATTTCAATTAATCTCAAGAATATGGGCTGCTCCAAGGAGACTGAGGGAATTGAAAATAGTTGTGAATTTACTAACCTAGGCTCATTTAGCCTAAACTTCAAGAAAACCCAGTAGTTCCACAGGCTTCTCTAGCAGATGAAGATGCCAGTTAACTGAAGACATTAAAACTAGATTACATCCAATGTCTCATGGCTAAGGTAGTAGAGTAATGGGAAGAATACCACAGAGGAAGTCTACATGTTTCAACATGTTCCTATATGTTTTAATAGTTAATTTTCTCATGATAAAAATGATAAAATCACATTTTAATAAAGGGATAATAAAATAGAAAAAGAGGAAGGAACACTGTTCTTATTCCCACAGGATTTCAGTAAAATGACCAAGACATGGCCAACTGATGGCAGCCATCTTGGATCACAAACTTGGATACTAGAATGAATCATCCAGATAGATTTTGTATATTTACCCCTTTTTGAGTGATGGAAAAATATACTATAATCTAGAAAATATAAGTCAAGAAAAGGTCAGGGCTAGGATCCCCTATTGATTCCTCATCCAAAGTAGATTTGTTATACATATGATGTGGTTTACAGCATTAGAAAACTGCACAAATGAATACAATCAAAACTAAACAATTCGACTCAAAATTTTTATTGTTAAAAACTTCTGACTCACTTGAACCTTTTGTAAAATATGGCGTTTGCATCAACCTAGTCAGGCAATCTTTTAAGTCCACTTTCCCTTCATCTGAAAATGAAACATAAAGGAATGAATGGCCTTTGGTCCAAAGATACAAAAGAATGAGGTCAGAAAATATGCATGCCTACTAAACTTTCAAAACCAATGTTAGTCCTATGTTTTTCTAACTTTGATTCTCCTAAACACCTCTCAGACTAACTATGAAAAAGAATATGATTATGATGACCCTGGTGGTCTTTTTCATTGTAAAGCCAATGAGTATTTTACGTATTTTACACATACCTTAACCAGCTGGGACCATTGTTTTGGTATGTTTTCTCTCTGATATGATATTCTTTTAATTTTTCAGCATTACAAGTCCTACTATAACTACCTACGTTTTCATGGAAGACAATTTATCCACTAGAAGATAAGTGCCATAAACCAAACTCAACCATACTATCTAAAGAAGACTGTATATACTTATAAACAAAGATATATTAATTAAGGAAACGTGCGATCTTTTGCTTTCTATCAGTCATACTTGGAACTTAAGAAGAAAAAGACCACCACAAGGCTCTGCAAGTAAGCTAAACATCCCACTGGTAGGATTCCAAAAACATCAGTGTAGCCCTTTGAGGACTGTGAGGAAATTAAACTGGTAGTGTGAATCACCATACTAAGGCTTAGGCTTTTGTTTCATAGGCTTGAGACAGCTTCACAGCTCCTGATCAATAAGAACCCATGATTCAAACCTCAGGAGGCAAAATGGGAAGAAGAGAGGAAGATAATACTTCCTTAGGATAACTCAATATAAGGATAATCCAAAACAAATTCTTACTCAAGCCTAATAAAGAAAATCTAATGTTGTTAAACTCATTACATTTGATTCCTAATTACTCAGCTCTGTGGATTTACGAATGAAAGTAAACACAAGTTTTATATGTAATAAATAACTCAGAAAAGGAAATACCATCAACAGAAACGGATGTGAGCACCTCCTGTAATTCTTCCTCTGGAAAATAAATCCCCAGGCCTTGCAATACAGCTTTTACATCATCAACATCAATTTTTTCATGGGTGACTTTGTCTAAGGCCTTTGCAAGTTCACTAACCTCTATCAAGAGAAAATATTTTCAGTTTAGATACATAATCAAAATAATTAAACTATAATTCAAAAAACTAGTATAGATACCTAGCATTTTTTCTTTAAAAATGATACAGCGTTCACCTTAAGTATTCTCTTGATGTACGTATTTAACTCTCATTTCACATATACATATAAAGCAGACAACCAATTATAAGGCAAACTCATAGGAGGAATTCAACTTTGATATCTTTCTACCTCTATCCATCCATCTCTGCTTCCCATGCTTCTGATATCCTTTCCTCATGTGTCCAGTGTTCTCTCCACTGCTTCCTAGTTAGTGCCACCTCAATTTGTCTCTTCCCAATCCTTCACTAAAATTTAAATCATCTTATACTGACTCTCTTTTACTTAGGGCTGAGAACATTGGTGTACATGGTAACAGCTAATTAATCTGCTAATAGAATTGGTTTTTTAAAAAATAATTGGAAACTAATGCTAGTGTAAGGGAGAGTTTTATTCCCATGTCAGTCTCCGTTGTATTTAATAACAAACACTTTAATAGTGGCCTAATATAGGTAATACCTTGGTACAAAAAAATGTCTTAATGGTTGGAATTTATGATGCTGTGAAAGATCTTAGAGAAATTTTCTTTTAGAGAGATTAACCATACATCATATCACTTTACAGAAGCAGTTATTTATTCTATCTAGGGAAAAGCCATATTTATCATATAATAATATGGTCAATCTGGATGTAGTACTTTGGGACCTGGATTTATAACCTCTTACTATGATGACTGAACTTCCTAGGTACAAAGTATGCTGACGCAGCTTTTGTATTCAGGTAAAAGTTTTATGCCTAGAAAAAGACATCTAGAAACATGGTAGCTATAGGGTAGTCAGTAATTCCATTATGTATTTGGAGAATAACCTAAACTCAGCCATACTGTAATTTGCAATGTTATAAAGGAGGTATTTTATCATTCCAAATTTGGGCGTTCCCAAATCTATTCTGCAACATGAACCCTTTCCACTTAACTATTCCCCACAGACATCAGATTTATTCTCACATATGTCCTTCGGGCATGCTGGTCTTCTCATCTAGAAAGTATATTTAAATCCTCTCCCTACCTTATCCTCAATCCAGCAGTCAGTTCAAAGTCCACCTGCTCCTTCAAGCTTCCCCAGATTATCATAGTTCATTCTGATATACCATTATATATAATAATGGTATAATATCATTATATATATAAGGTATATTCTCATTATACCTTAATAACTGTAGGTCTTATAGCTGGTGTCATATGATCTAGTATGTATACTATTTTCTAAAGGTAAGTCTTTTTTCTCCAGTTTCACTATAAGCACCTTACGAAAAAGAACCTTGTGCTATATTATAATACTTTCACAATCTCTACTGTGCACAACAAATGTACTAACTAAATATCTGTTACTCAATTACGGACTGTTCAGCCTTTTTCCTCTTTTGTTCCCTTATTGTTTCCATTCCTCCACACTATTGTCAAGTCTACCTACTATTCTGTTTCCCTCCATTCTTTACTATTGAGCTTCTCAAATGAGTGGTCTATATTAGTTGCCCCTATTTCATCACCCAATCTCTATTTTTTAAGCCCCTACAACTCTCCTGGAATGAAACTACTTTATATTTGACTAGTCTTTTATAATTTATGAAGTACTTTTACGTGTGTTCATTTGATCTCCACAAAAAAATCCTGCGAAATACATAGGACAGGTACTATTATCTAGAGCTAGACATATATATATTTTACAGTTAGATTAAGTGACTTGCCCATGATCATAATCAGGAAAATATCAGGCTACAGCTGAAACATTCTGATTCAGAGTACAATGCTTTTGGTATTACAAATAATAGCAAATAACCTCTCAACTTCCTTCTTTCCCAAATCCAATAATCTCAGCCTTCACTGTCCCCTGGACAATTTGGGTAGCTGACTATCCACCCTTATTTCTTAATTAAACTTCTTCCCTCCAATTACAGAATTAGTACACGCTGTGAGCTTAATGCTGAAATCATAGAAAGCACATAAAAGAAAAAAAGGAGAGAAAACACTCAAAACTCCATCACCCAAAGATAATCCCTGACAGCATTTTTGGTATGTGTCTTTCCAACATTTTTACATTTTAATGGAGTTTAGTCTTAATTCTCTTTAATGGCAAGCTTTGTTTCACTTAGCAAATTATCCTGAACATTTTCCCTTGTCAACATATTATTCTACAAGTATCATTTCTAGTGACTGTATAGTATTCCACTGCATGGCTATATCCTATCTTTCTAAACCAAAACTCAATTGCTATCATAAATGGGATCCTTATGATGAGTCTTTTTAGGCATACATCTTTTCACTAATTTTTTTTCTTAAAATAAATTTCTAATGTCAAATGGGATGCATACTTTTAAGGCCTTTGAAATGCAATCTCAAATCCCCAGAAGGATTGTCTCAATTTACACATATACCCACAGTGAAAAGAAAAACGGTCATTTCATCACATCTTTTCCAACTCCAACTTCTCTATTCTCCTCTTATTATTTTCTGGAAGAGCTTTAAAATCATACTGTCAATCCTCCCCTCAAACATTTCCCCCCACAAAACAACTCTTTAGGAATTGTATTACATTTATAAATAATTTAAAGAGAAGTGACTTCAGTATAATATGTGAAACTTACTCCATAAAATGATATGTTCTCCATTTATTTAAACATTTTTCAGCTATCAGCTTATGACAATGACTTTCAAATGTTTCTATTCCTGAAGTCTCAACCAAATTTTGATTCATATCTCTAACTGCTTCCAGCGGAAAGAGCTCAAACTTTGACATTTAAAGACCTGGTTTAAATTCTGGCTGCACATGTTCCATGTCCATAGGCAAGTGACTTATACCATGCACAGTCCTTCTCACTTTACCTTAAGGAGATTAGAGTTAACTCAAAGATTAATAAAACAATCAAAGTGATGAAATTGACTAAACAGATTAAGAATCTAGGCTAGAAGGCTTTGGTCTTTGCTTTTTCCTCTCTGTACTGTCGCCGAGATTTATTTATCCTGACTTTTTTGCAACTGTTTACCTCCATGAGGTAATTGTGTGGCCAAATTACATCTCCAACTCTCCCAAATTTCTATTTTCTGTATATTCTCTGAGGTACCATCATTGGTACAAACTTGAAATAAATATGTTTCAAACTGGATTCATTCCTTCATTCACCTTACTTGGAAACTGTAACCTTTCAATCTTTAATTTCTGTTTCTCTCTAACCTCAGTCACCATGACCAGTTTTTTCCCCTTTTTAGCATCTCTCTCACTCATATTTTTCTTACAAGTCCCATACTTACTACCGTTGTCCAGATCTTCATCTCCTCAAGCCTAGAGTATTTCCAAAATTTTCTAAATACTATTAAAAACCACTCTTTCCCTCTCTCAATCCAATTTCACACAGCAGATAGAGTAACTTAAAATTGATCATGTCACTCCATTGTACTTCCATTACACTTTGAATTAGATTCAAATTCTTTACCTTTACTTTTATTAAGACCTTGAATAATCTGGTCCATGCCTGTCACTCCAGCATTGTCTTTTGCCAGCTTCTCCTTTTCTCACTAGACTCCAGCCACAGTGGTCTTTCAGTTTCTTAAACAAATACACTATTTCCTACCCTAAGACCGTTCACAGCCTCTTCCTTCTCTGTGGAAGACTCTTCTTCCAACTCTTCTAGTAGCTGATTTCTTCTCATCCTTTAGGTTTCAGCCTAAATGTCACAACTCAGAGCATGCTTCCCTGGCCATCCTATCTAAATTAAGTCACTGCACCTTAATTCTCTACCTCATCCTTGCACAGTTTCTCCTTAACACTTAGCACAATTTGTAGTTATTTGTTTGTTCATCTGTCTTTTTTCACTAAGATCTCTGGGGTCAGAGACCACATATTTACCTATCTTGCTTACCAGAACAATGAAACTCACTTCTTGAATGAATGAACTGAATAAATGGTCTTCCTGCTTCTAGTGTCTCCTCAATCCAATCCACTGTTAAATCAATCTTTAGAGCTTAGCACCTAACACTCTCTTGCCCAAAAAGCATATTGAGACCTAACTGTTTTGAGCCTAACATTTAATATCCCCTCCAATCTAGACCCACCAATTATCTCTTGTTCCTCATGTTTCAAATCCTGACTGCCTCTCCGATCTTTTCTTCCCTTCCAATCTCTCAGTCTCAATGTTTTCTTGCCTTTCCTCTCCCTACCTAAATGCTACCATTCTTTCAAAGCCTTCCTCCATTTTTTCATAGGAATTTCACCTTCACTTGAATTCCTTATAAATATGTATCATTCATTTGATCTTGTAGTATATTAGTTATATTTTTATGTAAATAGCCTGTATTTTCATCTAGACTTTAAGATTCTCATGGCCTAACTTTGTGTCATGAATATTTTTGTGTCCAATATATGTGCATTATGTGTGATTGTGATAATATTTACCTGTAAGTTATAGTATAAAATTAATCTTTAAACTAAACCATTAAATCATAATGCACTAAAAAAAAAATCTCTGCACTTGGAGTCCAATACTTGCTTGCTGTGGGCTTCTAAGTAAGGTACAATCTTTTTGAGCTTCATTTTTCTCTTTCTTTATTATAAGACACCTACTTAACAGAGTAATCATAAAGAAAAAATGATGTGAACCAAATTATGTAAAAGTACTTGGTGAATCAAACACTATACAAATGTATTATTATTTTCCAGTCAAGTATTATGATGTTGTTTAAAACCAAACAAATAAGATACATCTATAGAAACCGTGAAATAAAACTATACACATTTTTTCCCCTAAGGTACTTTTTATACTGAAAATAAAAGTTGGAGAAAAGTTTTGTTAAGGTCATGAAACATTAGGCTGTTAACTCATTTCTAAAGTGAATTACAACTTTTCAAAATTATACTCAAAAGTTAGGGAGATATTTCATAGAGGGCAGCCATCACACAATGCCACAAAATATTTCTTGGTGCCAAAATAAAAAAAACAAAGATTCAAGTAAGAGAATTCACATATTCTCTATGCAACTGTAAAAAGGAATAAGAAAGCTCTTTATGTTCTGATATGAACAAATATCCAAAATATATTGTTAAATGAAGAAAAGATCAAGGATACAGAAACAATGCATACATTATGCTTCCACTTATGTAAAAAGTGTATGGAGGGAGAATATACATATTCATATTTTCTTGAGTGTTCATAAAAATCTCTAACTACTACCTACATAAGAAACTAAATACAGTGGTTAGTTATTTGGAGGAAAGTGGTGGGAACTGGATGACTAGAAGACCAGGGAGGAGGGAGATTTTCACATAAACACGTTTTTATTTATGATCTGTGTGAACGTATTATCTAACCCAAAACCTTAACTTTACTAATTAAAACATTTTTAAGGTCACATAGTTTGGCATCCTTCTTGAAGACATCTTATTTGCTTCAATTATGAACTTATAAGTAATGTTAAAAACTAGACTTAAGAGAACATAGTGAGCTCTCCTTCATCTAAACTCCTGAAACACTAAATGTATACTACTCATTTAATCTAGTAGCACATTAGTTATATTTTTATGTAAGTGGCCCATCACTTTTAATTTACGGTAAATATTTTCTATATTCTAAATGTGTATAAAACTTCCAATTATTCTCACCTCTAAAATCTTGAAAACGCTTATTGCTCTTCAGCGCTAAAAGGGCAGTCTTTAGGGAAACATTTCCCTTCTCTGTAAAGACAAAAACAGTACAAAGATAAATTAATAAATTCAAGAAACATAAAGGACTTCCACAGTGAGCTAAACGTGGTTCACTTACTGCCCCTAAAGCATCTTAAGATAGCCTCCGTCTATGCACTTCTGTCCAGGATGCTGCTCACTTCTCTATCCGTCCAAATCCTAGTTTGCCAAGACACCCTCCCCTGAGCCTATATCCCCCTCTAACTACTGCTTTTTCCTTTTCCTTTCCTTCACAACCTAATTTCTAGAAATAAATGTTTTTCTTCATCATATCTTCATGCACATCATCTTAAATTGCTGCTATCTGGCTTTCATCTCCCCTGAAATTGCTTTTACCGAGTTCACCAGTTAACTATTTACTGCCGAACTAATGAACACATTTTTTTGGTCTTAGCACCTTCCTCCTTCAAACTCTTTTTTTCACCTTTGTTTTATTGATATAGGTTTTTCTTGGTTTCCCTCCTACCATTCTGGTTGCCTCTTCTTAATGTCCTTTATAAACTATTTTATCTCCACCATTACCTAAACGTCAGCATGCCTCAGTGTTTCTGTTCTTAGCCCTTTTCTCATTACCCTCTGTAAACGTTTCCTGAACTCTCCTGTAACTACTAACTGTAGGTTGACAACTCCCAAGTTTCTGTATCCAGCCTAGACCACCGCCTACCGCACATCTCCAACTCTATGTCCACAGGCACCACAAACACAGTATCTTAAGCAGAAATCCTCATCTGTACACTAAAACTTGATCCTCCTCCTGTATTCCGTATCTTATTAAAAGGCATCACCATTAAATAATGCAGAAATTTGTTACTCATCCTCAATTCCTCTCCCTTTGCCTTCCTTAACTTAATCAAACAATGATGAAGCTCTGCCTCCTAGATCTCATATCTGTTCCCTTCTTTCTATCCCTAGAGCCAATACCTTAGTTCAACACTCATAATTTTTAACGTGGACTACTGCATGCCTTCTAAAATGTCTCCTTGCTTCCAATCTTGCCCTCCTTCAGTCCTTTCTTGTCACTGCTATCAGAATATCCATCATAAAGTGCAAAATCAATCACGCCACTTTTCAACTTTGAATTCTTCAATGACTCCCTTGAGACTTTGAGATAAAGTTCAAACTCTGTTGCTCAGAAAAAAACAAAAACAAAAACAAAATCCTTCTTGATCTGCTTTTGACTATATGGCCACTTCATTTCCCTCTCTCTCCTACTATGCACCACTAAGTCAATGGTCAAACTTTGATTCACATCAACATGAACTACAAAGTTTGTTGAAAAATACACACATACACACACACGTACCTTGGTCCTGATGCAGATATTCTGAAGCAAGAGATCCAGAATGAGGTCAAAGCATCTGGGTTTTTAACAAATTTCCTAGGTAATTCTGATGTAAATCAGTCTAAGATCCACCAGTGGGTAAGTCTTACTGGAGTACTTAAAGAGTTTCTTGATTTTTCCATGAACTTTGTTCATCTATACTTTGCACATACTGAGCATTCCCTCCGAACTCCTTCCAGTCCCCTTCCCTGGGCTCACAATTCTCGGCTAGTTCCTACTCATGTTTCAGAACTCAACTGCACTGTCATCTCTTCCAGGAAGTCTCTTCTGACTACCCCATCTAACCCTGTTTTAGTTAGGTATCTATTGTATATGTTCCCATAACACCCTATGTTTACCTCTGTCACAGTATTTAACAATTGGTATTCTCATTGTTAGCTCAATAGATTGTAAGCTCTTTTATCTTTATATATTTAGTGCCTAGCAAGCAATAGGTGTTCAACAAACTTTCAGTGAATGAATGAAATAGCTCTCCCCTGAATTATTAAACAGCTCAGTGTCATCAGTTGTACAGGCTAAATTCAGTCTTTCCTCCTGTGTTTCTCCTTTACTCTCACACTATCACACTCACAACACTTCTGACACCAGACGCTTGCGGGGTTTTCCCACAGCAAGCAATTCTCTGCCACGTCAGCTGGGTGTCCTACCATTTTAACTCAATTCCGACACTATCTACCTGGAGATAGTATCAGATCCCACAGGTTAAGGGCTCAGTCCCACAAGACCGCCCCCTCCCCATTTCAAATGCCAATTGCAAGTAGCACGTCCCCAGGTTACCCACAACTTCTGTCCAACTTAGCTACAAACTGGGGGTCCGCATGACCTCTCCCCCTTGGATTCAATTATTTGCTAGAACAGCTCACAGAACTCTAGGAAACACTTACTTATGTTTACCAGTTTATTAAAGGACAGGATAAAGGATACAGATGAACAGTCAGATGAAGAGATACATAGGGCAAGGTCTGGCAGGGTCCCAAGCAAGACTTCCTCAGATAGGTATGATCAGTTATTTACTCCATTTCCAGCCCCTCTCCCCTCTTGGGAGAACTGGGGGTGGGGTTGAAAATGTCAAGCTTCTAATCATGGGTTAGTCTTTCTAGTGACCAGCCCCCAACCAAGAGACAGCCAGGAGCCCACCTAGGGTTGCCTCATTAGAACATTGCCAAGATGCTCCTAGGAATTTACAAAGGTTTTAGGTGCTCTGTGCCAGGAAGGGGGATGAAGATCAAATACATATTTCTTATTATAAATCACAATATCAAGCTGTCCTCTTGATACAGTCAGCAGCACATCAGCCTCATAAATCACAATATCTCATCACTGTTTCCTTGGCAATTACTCAAAAACTGCCAAGTAACAGTGCACATTCACTGAACATTTATCTCCTATACTGTTATATACACTTTTGTTGTTTATATCTTGCCTCACCAACTAGACCAAAAGTTTCCTGAATATGAATATTTCATATTTATTTGATCACATATTACATAATATCTTACATATAATAGGCACTCGAGATCAGGTCTGCCACATAGAGCCAAGCAGGCCACGCACTGCACAACACCAAGGGATGCTGTTTACAAAGATGACAATGTGCCCCAGAAGTTGTGCTGTGCAGTGGCCCCAGTCAATATGATTGGTGAAGCAACACCAAAACCCATTCAATAATGTAAAAAAGAAATACTTTGAGGAACTGATTTTAAATTAATTTTAAAAACATATAATAATTAGCAAAATTTGAAATTTATATGCTGTTTTCTCTGAAAGCTCTTAGGATTCACATTCAATCAACCTTGTGCCATAAATATCTCATGCAGAGGGATGAAGGTCCTCCTTAGTCTCTTCCTGGCTAAAAGCAGTTTCACTTTAGCACGACCTTCTCAGAGAATTCCACCACCTTCCCTAATTTACACAGTAGATGCTAAAAACATACAAACAAACAAATATACCCAGATAGAATCAACACAGGATACTACGTGGGGCTAGAAAGGCTGAAAAAATCTTAATAATCTTATTCAAAGATTTTTCTATCAAGATAAATTTATGATCTCAGTAGACTTGCTTTGTTATTTTTTCCATTGGGATAACAAAGAGAAAATTGTTGGGGAGTGATGAATGGAGGATAGGGAAGGGGAATAAAAAAATTATTGTCACTTTATTCAGAAAACCAACTTATAGTTATTATATATACCATCAACATCAAGTGTTTTTTCCAACATCTGGTGTTCTTCAGGCTTTAAACAAACACTGAGGTCATCAAAAGCATCTTTCAAGTCATTCACCTGAATTCTGCTGCAGCTCGTCACGTGGACAGTATTGAGGGCAGCACGTGCATCTGAAAGCAAACAGGGATTCTGTAAGTCACTTAATATCCTTTGGAAATAATTTTGTATTTTCTAAACTTCTGAAGAATAATGTACCCAAAATTCTAGACTATTGTTCAAATGTATATCTCAATTAACATTACCTCTATGATTCCAAAATTAATAAATAAGTCAAAAATTCCTTTATTCCAAGCATTTCCTTGAGATGACCAGTTTTGTTTCAATATAAAAAAATTAAGTTGACTGAGTTTTTTTATTTAACTAATCAATCAATTTTTAAAAATTAAAATACAGCCATTATTGCATCTCCTCAGGGAAATCTTTAATTTTTTATCAGTGAGAGAGATTTCAAGGCTTATCTCTGTTTACATGAAACTGCCCAAATTTCAGAGTACAAAAATATTAGTCCTGAATTTTTTTCTACTTACATATTTTTCTGCTCTGTTCATTTTTTGCTTATTTCTCATAAATTTTTACTCTCTTATTATTAAAAGTTTCCCCCCAAGTGTGGGAGTATTAAGGTTTCCAGGAATATACTGTGCCTAAAAGTAGAAATGGCCTTTATTTTTTAACCTAAAAGATACCTATTTACAAAGGTCAAATGCCACAAAATCTGTAGATGAAATGTAAACTGAAGAGCTTCAAGGTTACAGAGAATAGATGTAAGGGTTTTTCTATGAAGAAAATAAAAATGCTAGAGGTTCTTTCAAACTGAAGCACTCTGCATTCCTCCCAGGTCTTATCTAAACTTCTAGGAGTTTTCTCCCCTAAATGAGGTCCTTAGGATTAGAGCCATGCCTCTAACTGCTTTATCAATGAGTTATAGAAATCATCATATACTCAAGGTCACTCTTTGGGTCATAATCTCTAGTTTATCTACGAGAAGGTAGGGATATTTTTTTAAAAGGAGGCAAAGTGGGGCGAGCCTGGTGGGGCAGTGGTTAAGTTTGCATGTTCTGCTTCAGCAGCCCAGGGTTCACTGGTTCAGATGCCAGGTGCGGACCTACACACTGCTTGTCAAGCCATGCTGTAGCAGGCGTCCTACATACAAAGTAGAGGAGGAAAGGCACAAATGTTAGCTCAGGGCCAGTCTTCCTCAGCAAAAGAGGAGGATTGGTGGCAGATGTTAGTTCAGGGCTAATCTTCCTCAAAAAAACAAAAAAAAAAAAAGAGGCAAAGTACAGATACACAAAAGAGTTGCAGAATTAACTTATTAGATAAGACATTTTCCAACAAATATTAGTTCACGAGCCCTTCAATTTCTCCGATAAATCCCAGCAGGCTTTTTTTTAGAAATTTACAAACTGATTCTAAAATTCTATGGCAATGTAAAAGATCTAGAATAGTCAAAACTTTTTAAAGTAGAAGAAAGTTGGAGAACTAATACTACCTAATTGATTCCAACGTTTATTATAAAGCTATAGTAATCAGACAATGTGGTATTAATATAAAGATAGACAAAAGATCATTGGAACAGACTAAAGAATCCAGGAAGATACATATATATATATATATATACCAACACACACACACACACACACATATATATATATACACAAGATTTTCTACAAAAGTACAAAGGCAATTCAGCGGAGAAAGTAGTCTTTTCAACAATGGTGCTGGACCAAATAGATATCCATGTGCAAAAAAAAAGGAACTTTAATCCACACTTTACTCCATATACAGAGATTAACTCAAAAGGGATCATATGCCTAAAATGTAAAAACAAAAACCATAAAACTTTTAGAAGAAAACATACAATAAAACCTTTGGAACCTCAGATGAGGCAGATTTCATACCAATGATGCCAAAAGCACAACCCATAAAAGAAAAAAACTATTAACTGGACTTTGTCAAAATTAAAGTTAATGCTCTTCTAAAGACACTGCTAAGAAAATGAAGAGACATGCAAAAGATGCAGAGAAAATACTTGCTAAGTATATATCTAATAAATAACTTGTATCCAGAATATATACAGAAATAAAAAAACAACTCAACTTAAAAAATGGGCAAAAGATCTGAACATTTTGCCAAGGAAGATATACAGATGGCATATAAGCACAATGAGAAGATGCTCAACATCATTAATCACTAAAGAAATAGAAACTAAACCCCAACGAGATACCACTATACACTTATTAGAATGATTAAAACTAAAAAGACTGACAATGCCCAGTAGTAGCAAGAATTTGGAGGAGCTAGAACTCTCATACACTGCTGGAGGAAATGTAAAATGGCATAACCACTTTGAAAAACAGTTTGGCAGTTTCTTAAAAAATTAAACACACATCTACCATATGAGCCAGCCAATGCTTGGTAATTACCCAAGAGAAATGAAAGTATATGTCCATACATCGACGTTTACAGAAATGTTCATAGCAGCTTTCTAATAGCCCCAAATTGGAAACAACTTAATGCATATGACCAGGTAAGTAAATAAACTGGGGTAAATCTATACAATGGAGTAGTATTCAGTAATAAACAAAAATAAACTACTGATATATGCTACAACATGAATGAATCTTAAAATAATTATGCTGAGTGAAAGAATCCAGCAAAAAAAGAGCACATGTATTTATATAAAATTCTGGATAACGCAAACAAATCTATACTGATGGACAGTATATCAGTGGTTGCCTGGGGATGAGGAGAAGGAGAATGGGGAAAGGCAGGAGAGATTACAAAGGGGAATGAGGAGGCTTTGGAGTGAGGGATGTGTTCGTAATCTTGATGTGATAATAGTCTCATAGGTGTTTGTGCATGTCAAAACTTACCAAATTGTGCACTTTAGCTATAAAAATATACAACTTTTTGTATATCATTTATACTTCATAACACTGTTTAAAAATAATGATGATGACAAAAGACAGTGTAAACTATGACAAATACCTAAAATGAAATATTGATTGACCCACCTTCAAATTCAGGAGCTGGCTTACTTGTGTTCAAAGTCTCCAAAATTTGTTTGAGACTTACTTCACTAGTTTCTAAAAAGTAAAGTACAACGATTATGAAATGGCAAAGTGTTAATGCTAATAATCATTAAATAACCACAATAGGGAGTGGGGGATGGGCAAAATTTGTAATTTCTTAAAATTAGCTGGATAAAAACCAGTTAATTTAAAAGAGTTTTACCCAGAAACTGTTCCCTCAAAACAAGAAAAAAAAATTTGAATTACATTAATTTATTTGGCTTTAATAATTAAATTTGATGTATATATTTTATAGATTTGATGCCAGATAAACAGAGAGCACCTCTTAAAAATATTTCCATAAGAAAAAAATACGAATTTTAATTAGTTCTCAATACGCCTATGATCTCATTATATTTCTAAGAACTAGTTTATCCAAAATATATGTATATACAATAGATATCCCAAGCACACAGTAAAACTAGGACTTCATTAAACTCAACATAGTTTATTCTTTCAAAAAAGATTCACTATCGATAGATGTTTCATTCAGAATCTCCTGGAATGTCTTGTTGCTTAATGGAATTCCAGTACTTAAGAGTTCAGAGTTCAGCTTATTTACATGCATCCTATCATTTCTGATCTTATCAAGAGTTGTAATCGCTTTAAATAAATCTGTAAATACATGAAGAATAGAGAACAGATAATGAAGTTGAGGTAAAACCCTTTTTAAGACTTAACACCCTAGCCTGCAGAGAGCTAGGTGTATTATAGAAGGAATTCTGAGTTAAAGGACTTTTAAAATATATCAACGGACTTTGTTTTTAGAAGTCAATTAAACAATAAACAAAATTTAACATACCCTTAGACAGGCAAAAGTTGAAAAAAATTTCTGTAAAAGTCTACTTTGCATTCATTAACTATTTCCCCTCAAAGCTGTTTCTACTACATGCTCCAGACTTTCACAGACTACAAAGCATTTCAAGAACAGTTAGATTGTAGCTCTTAGAATGAGGTCAAGTAAGAAGAAAAAAATTTTGTAACTATGTATGATGACGAATGTTAACTAGACTTATTGTGGTGATCATTTCACAATATACACATATATCAAATGATTATGTTGTTCACCTAAACTAATATAATGTTGTATGTCAGTTATATCTCAATTTACAAAAGGAAAATTATAATATGAGACTATATTGATATCAGACAAAATATACTTTAACGAAAAGTTTTATTGACAACAAAGAGTCAATCCACAATGGGAGAAAAATTCAGTTTTAATCCTAGGAAGATACAACAATTTTAAATTTGTACCTAATAATAAAGCCTGAAAATATATAAAGCAAAAAATTGACAGAACTACAAGGAGAAATAAACTAATACATTATTGATGCGGATCAAGGCTGCCCCAGGGAGAGAAGCCCAGGGCGTCCTGGCCTACATGTTGATCTATATGAACTGATTTATATCTAAAGTTATACGCCCACACAATAACCAGACTCCACCTACACTGATACCATTTTTTTTTTTTTAAGATTTTATTTTTTCCCTTTTTCTCCCCAAAGCCCCCCGGTACATAGTTGTATATTCTTCATTGCGGGTCCTTCTAGTTGTGGCATGTGGGACGCTGCCTCAGTGTGGTCTGACGAGCAGTGCCATGTCCGCGCCCAGGATTCGAACTGACGAAACACTGGGCCGCCTGCAGCAGAGCGCGTGAACTTAACCACTCGGCCACGGGGCCAGCCCCTACACTGATACCATTTTAATGACTTTTTACATCATCTTTCCTTTGTCTGGTAAAAATAAGTCACATACCCATGCCTTATAAATTTAGCCCTAACCCTCAACACACTGCAGCTCTTCACTGCCCACGGGTCCTGTCGCCATGCTATTCTCTGAATAAAAGGAGCACTACTACCAGACCTTGAGAGTCCAAGAAATCTCTCTTTTGACTCCTCGGTTCACCGAGCCCGCATCACTTCTTCCGGTAGCCCGTACGGAGATCTTGCTTCACCGGCTTATGAGCTTAAGTTTTGGTAAGTGCACTTTTCTACCTTGTGCCTATCTCTTTTTCAAGGATGGATCTAAATTCACTTCTTTGGGAACTTTCTCAGACAGCTGTCTGAATCCAAGTTTGCTGCCCATGGCTACTCTATGGGCCAAATCATGGCATTCAGCCTGAAGAGAATCAGTACCTTAAGCCTGAGGGTGATGAAGAATGAATTAATCCATTCCTTCCTAGTCCTATGTCTGATATGTAAATTTTACATTGGCACAGGTCAACCACTTAAGTCATTAGGACGGTCGCCAATCTCCAAGACTCCCATGGCAGATTTCTTTTCCTAAGGCTGGATTGGGATCCTTCCCTATGGTTCCTGACCACACTCCAAACTGCAGAAAAGTCCCAGTTGGGACTCCAGTTCAAGGAAAGTACCAAACTCTAACCTTTGGTTGACTATGGGAACCCCTTCTGGGGAGAATGGCTCCAGGATGCAATTGGGTAAAATGTCCCCCAGACCGGCAGAAAATTCTTCACTGTTTTTCTCTATTCTTTTATCTCTGGGACCATTCACCAGGCACCTACTACTGCCAGCCATAAAAGGGAAGGTATCCAAGGGATGCAATGCAGGCGGACACCCCCATCACCCCTTACTATAGGAACCCCACAGGAAGAACAACAGGTAGGATGCGGCCCCAGGTTCGGGGATTTTCAAGGTAACGGGCCCTTTTCTTTCATCTCTCTTGAAGTCACAGTGGCCATCTTGGTCTCCTTTGAGCTCTGCAACCAAGAAACAAAGAAATCTTTAAAGAGTCAGAGCCTCCACCC